AAAATTCAACAAAAGAATGCCAAAATGAAGAAGAAATTTTAACAGAAATTTCTAAACTGATGGGAAATATTGCAAGCTTAAATTTACTAGATAATATAGAGGATTTGATAGATACTCATGAACAGATAAAAAATTTACCTAGTAATATGTATTTACAACATATTTACAACAATAAATTTAATATATTAGATAATAATGAAAATATAATTTTTGACTCTCTATATCAATATCAAAAATATTATAAGGTTTATACTTCAAAAAAAATAGTTCGATCCCAATTTCAAAAAACTGGAGATTATAATTCATTAGAAATTAATTTATCTATTGCTAGCAAAATAGTTGCACAAATTACTAATAATAATAACAATTCAAAATTGTCTAAAGCATGATTAGAACAATGGGATATTAGAAAAAAAATTGAAAATGTTAATCAAATATTAAAAAATTTACGAGAATTACAGTTACCAAATTGCAGTAAGTATTAATTATTTGTTTTATTAATTTTTATTTAACAATTAATTATTTAACAATGAATCAAATATTTTATAGCTTTAGATTATATTTTTTTTAATTTGTATAGTGAATATTTCTGTAATTTATCCAATACAAAAAGGAGGATTTGCATTAGCATTAATTAATAAGGAAATATGTCTTGTACAAATTTTAGCAATTTATTATCATACATTAACTAGAAATAACTATTCATATACTGAAGAATCTATAAGTGATATTAATTTAGTTACCTTTATTTCTACTAAAGTATTTAGAAATTTACAACATAATTTGTTTTATTCAAAATGTAATGAAGGATATGAATATTTTTGTTATTTATTATCTAAACAAATACTTTATTATTTAGGCTATCAAGTAGAAGAATCATATACAATATGTATTCATTACAATCTAATGCATATCAAATTTATCAAACCTTTTCTAATGATAGTATTTTAGATTGTATTTTACATTGTTTGAATCAAAAGAAAACAAATAAATAAAATATTTTTATTAAGGTTATATAAAATTAATAGTTTATATAAATAATAATTTTAGCAGTTATTAAAAATAATTAGTTAATTATATATTAGGCTATACAAACTTAATAAATCGGTTTTTATAATATAAAATTTTCAAAAATGACCTGGCAATCCGGCTTTTAATTTTATTTTCAAAAAATTATATATATAAAAAATATAAAATTTTTTATAGATTTTTTAAAAAAAATCACCTGGATAGTAAGTATACTTGAAATTTTATTTTAGAGTTTTGTAAATTTTAATTTGGCCAGGTTATGAAAACTAATTTATTAAGTTTGTATGACCTTATATTTTATAAACTTTAAATTTTGATTTGACCTAATTATTTTATAAAAAACCAAATAATTTTTTATATAGTTTAATCTGGTATATAAAAATATAGGTAGATTTTAAATTTTTTACATGTAGTATGTATAAAGAATCATCCAGGGTGACCACCAAAAATGCCAGTGATCATCATGGTGCAGCTGTAGTATCTATATCGATCATGGAGCAGCAGCAGTATATATCAATTACAAACGCTATTTGAAGTACTATCTACTTCGCTCTTTACCAACTGTTCATTAGAGATTTTTTTCTAACTTTCTTCTGATATGTTACCTATATATTTTTCACTTGATTAAATCTTTTCTCATTAGATAATTCACTTTTTTTTTGTGTTGACAGGTCTCGTTATAGTAAACTTCTGGGCTGAGAAAAAAAAAACCTTTACCATAGCTTATGTCAAGAGAATACTATATATAC